TTGGCGTGCTGGCTGATACCCAAACAAGGGATGAGCTGGAGATGTCTAGATTTAAGTCGTTGACGTGCTGGCTGATACCCAAACAGGGGATGAGCTGGAGATGTCTCCAGGTAGTGAGTTCCAGAGTCAGGGAGCCACAGAGGAGAAAGCTCTCTCCCTTGTTCTCACCAGGAGAGTGAGTACCAATTTAGTTGCTAGAATTTGCACCAATCTACATCTGAAACTTTTTCAAAGCGACAATTAAACTAATACTTTTTAAAGGAAAAACATGCAATGACAAGGTGAGGGGGATCATATCCTTAAAAACACTGTTCAATATGAGTAGCAACAGGAACAGAAAGTTTTATGCAAAAGTGTGGAATGAAGATAGGAAGGAATTCAATACATCCACAACAGAAGATCATACCATGATTTAAAAAAATGGAAATGGAACTTGGTACCAGAAGAACTACAGAACTATCTACTGTGCACAGCTGTACAAATAACTTCTTGCAGAAAATCAGCACTGTTCCCACCACCCTATCATACACATCCACCTGGATTTTGCCTTTGTGCCCTTGCCAAAGTCACAACTGGGTTATTTATATATCCATCTTGCTCCACCTGCCATCCACAGGCAATCTCGCCCTCACACATTTTGCCCATTTTCTCCCTGAACTAACTCTAAATTAGAGAAGGAAACATGCTTTGGAAAAGACAAACACAAGCCCACAAATAAACAAATAGGGAACAGAAACTGAATCCTTCATTAGTCCCTGAGAAGGGACCCAGCACTTTTTTTTTTGTTACAAAAAAGAAAAGAAAAGAAAAAGTCAGCCCAGCAATTTCCCAATTGCGGATTGTTTTCTTGTTCTTTCTCCCTCCCTGCCACAGCCTCTGGACTTTTGATTGGCTCAGAGATGAAATGTTCATTAACCAGCTCCAGAAATAGGCAGTTTACAGGACCAGGACCAGGCGAGGACGTGCTTGCTTGCTCCAAAGCTGGAAGGTAGGTCTGGTGAGGTTAGGATGCTCCTTGTCATCTGGCGGCCACGCTTTCCATGGCATCCCTCCGACTGCAAAAGAGCTGACAGATGTTTCCTCTTGTCCCGAGGAACAAGCTCTCTCGCCTGCCTTCTTTTTCCAAACTGCCAGGATACCCAGTTAGGACGGATCCTGCCTATATAGGTCTCTTGGCTCAGGGAGAAAATGGAAAACATACTCTTCACCCCCCTCCCCCCGTTTGTGACAGTTAGAATCATAGAATCATAGAGTTGGAAGAGACCTCATGGGCCATCCAGTCCAAACCCCTACCAAGAAGCAGGAAAATTGCATTCAAAGCACCCCTGACAGATGGCCATCCAGCCTCTGTTTAAAAGCTTCCAAAGAAGGAGCCTCCACCACACTCCGGGGCAGAGAGTTCCACTGCTGAACAGCTCTCACAGTCAGGAAGTTCTTCCTAATGTTCACATGGAATCTCCTTTCTTGTAGTTTGAAGCCATTGTTCCGCGTCCTAGTCTCCAGGGAAGCAGAAAACAAGCTTGCTCCCTCCTCCCTGACTTCAGCCCCCCCGCCCCGCTACCCCCAAATTCTCATGGTTGTTGTTCGCGAAAGGCCTTACCTGGCTGCATATTCTAAATGTGTTTATTCATATCAATGATCTTTCATCACCATACTCAATAATCCCATATCGCACGCATCACAAAAGAGTTTGCTTAGAGTAGACCTCTTTCACTCAAAACTCAGCCCCCCCAACAATCAAAATACGGATGGGCTGTAGTTTGTTAACCTACAACAAAGAGCATTCTGAACTCCACAATGGAATTGAACAAACTTGGCACACAGCTCTCCCATGACCAACAGAAAATACTGGAAGGGTTTGGTGGGCAGTGTCCTTTAGTTTTGGAGTTGTAGTTCACCTACATCCAGAGAGCACTGTGGACTCAAACAATGATGGATCTGGACCAAACTCTACACGAATACTCAATATGCCCAAATGTGAATACTGGTGGAGTTTGGGGAAAATAGAATCTTGACATTTGGGAGTTGTAGTTGCTGGGATTTATAGTTCACCTACAATCAAAGAGCATTCTGAACCCCACCAATGATAGAATTGGGCCAAATTTCTCACACAGAACCCCCATGACCAACAGAAAATACTGTGTTTTCTGAAGGTCTTTGGCGACCCCTCTGACACCCCTTCGCAACCCCCCCAGTTTGGGCTATATGGCCATGGTCTAGTCTGAGGCATTCTCTCCTGACGTTTCGCCTGCATCTATGGCAAGCATCCTCAGAGGTAGTGAGGTCTGTTGGAACTAGGGAAAAGGGTTTATATATCTGTGGAATGACCAGGGTGGGAGAAAGGACTCTTGTCTGCTGGAGCTAGGTGTGAATGTTTCAACTGACCACATTGATTAGCATTTGATAGCCTGGCAGTGCCTGGGGTAATCTTTTGTTGAGAGGTGATTAGATGTCCTGGTTTGTTTTCCCTCTGCTGTTTTGCTGTTATTATTATTATTATTATTATTATTATTATTATTATTATTATTTGAAATGTTTTTGTTTTTTGCTATGCCAAACCAACCCAGCCCCCCCCCCACCCCCCACCCCCCACCCGCCTTTCTTGCTTGGATAGAGTCACTGATTTGGCAGTCACTGATATCTTGAGCCAAGAAAGAAGATTGGAGAGATGGGCCAAAACTCTCCGAGATGTGCATCTATATGCAAGATATTTCATTTTGGCAGAAAAAAAATTAAATGGAAAGATACAGAATGGGGAATGCCTGGCTCGGCAGCAGTACATGTGAAAAAGATCTTGGAGTCATCAGGGACAATGAGTTAAACATGAGCCAACAATGTGATGTGGCGGCAAAAAAAGCCAATAGGATTTTGGCCTGCATCAATAGGAGCATAGTGTCTAGATCTAGGGAAGTAATGCTACCCCTCTATTCTGCTTTGGTTAGACCACACCTGGAATATTGTGTCCAATTCTGGGCACCACAATTCAAGAGAGATATTGACAAGCTGTAATGTGTCCAGAGGAGGGCGACTAAAATGATCCAGGGTCTGGAGAACAAGCCCTATGAGGAGCGGCTTAAGGAGCTGGGCATGTTTAGCCTGAAGAAGAGAAAGCTGAGAGGAGATATGATAGCCATGTATAAATATGTGAGAGAAGCCACAGGGAGGAGGGAGCAAGCTTGTTAGATATTGGAAAACCCCAGATATACCTCCTTTAGAAGAATGGGAAAAATATATTATAGATATGTTGATAATGGACAAAATAACTGTATTATTAAGAGGAGAAATACTAGACAACTTCGTTAATGAATGGCAACCAATGATTCAACACCTTAATGTAAAGTTAAATTAAAAATGTATATAGAGGATCCTATAAGACTGTAGACAAGGAAGAAGTGGATGCTAAAGTAAGAATCTATGATATCTTTTTATGTATTATTTAGATAGTAGACTGTGACCCCTTAATAGAAATATATTATGAGATAAATGATTATGGAACATTAATAGATAGAAAGTATTGCACTATATGCAACAAACACTTGCAAATGTATGTTTACTTAAATAAAATAAAAATAAAATTAAAAAAAATAAGCATCATTAAAGCCTTGCAGAGACTGTGCAAAAAGCATATCCTGCTTTCTTGGCAGGGGGTTGGATCCTGCGATTCGGCCTCTTCCAACTGTTAATTCATATGATCTAACTGACACCATGATAGCTTTGATGCTCCTGCATGTCCTGACTCTGGTGTCGAACTGCACGAGGCTCACCCTGCCATAACGCGAGAGGTTCACAGGCTAGCTGGAAAGTAAGTTTCTGTTGTCGTGACCCAAGAATGACAGTTTTCAACATGTCTTAGAATCACAGAATCAAAGAGTTGGAAGAGACCTCATGGGCCATCCAGTCCAACCCCATTCTGCCAAGAAGCAGGAATATTGCATTCAAATCACCCCTCACAGATGGCCATCCAGCCTCTGTTAAAAAGCTCCCAAAGAAGGAGCCTCCACCACACTCCGGGGCAGAGAGTTCCACTGCTG